CCCATGTGCTTGCCATAAAAGGCAACTATGCTTGTCGTAAAAGGCGACTAACGGGATTGGGTGGTCAGGCTCGCTGACTTGGCTGACACATGTCATCGGTTCCCAATTGCGCAGATCGATGCTCATGCTGTTGATCACTGGATTGTCTGGTCCAGACTCAATTATTTACAGACCGCCGCCTATAGCTGGGATATTGCTGAGTGCGGCGTAAAACTAAACTCACTCACTCACTCCAAGGACGTGGCCTAAATGCCCAGCTTTCAGAAGGACATGACTTAATCTCCAGCTGTCACAAGGACATGGTCTGAACCCCAGCTGTCACTAGGGCATGGTGCAAACACCAGCTGTCAATAGGACATGGTGCAAACCCAAACTGCCACAAGGACATGGCCTAAACCCCAAGCTGTCACTAGGGCATGGCCTAGACCAGAGCTGTCACAACGACATGGTTTGAACCCCCAGCTGTCACAAAGACATGACCTGAAAACCCACATGAAAATATTGACTACGTTGTTCTAGTATGTGAGTTTGAACACTTTTGTTCAGTAATAAAACTGGTAACTGTGATGTTCTGCCAATAAAATAGAAATATGAAAGTGGGAACCATGCTGCTTCATTGTACTGATTGACCTGATCAACTTGCAGTGTACGGAGAACCTACTTCAAGACCCAGAGACAGTATGTCCAGGAGATGGAACTGGCCAATAAAGAAGCCATATTGAATGGATCTCCTAAAAAAGAAGAGGTGAGAGTTGATGGCAGATATCAGTCCTGAACTTTAAAAAAATAAATAAAATAAATATACAGTATTAAAGGACCAATCTCATCTCTTAGCTGGCATATGCACATTGCAGATCTGAAACAATTCAAATATGACGTTGGTGTGATCTGATTGTGATAGGAATTAGTGTATTTTTGCGACTCTTCAGGTTTTTCTCAAATTTCTATTTCAGACCGATAACAGAGCGAGCACGTCTTCTTGGATGTTCATTCTTTGGGCGGTCGGCAGGCAGAATACCACCCTCTTCAAATCAACCACGTAAGTTGAACTGCACAGTTTAGAGTAACCTTCCCTTGTTTTGGGCTGATCAAAGACCTACCAAAGTTTAGTTGGCTATGTAGTGCAGATCTAACATTATCACTTTACCCTCTGTATTCTGTAGATAGGTCGTACTGAGCTAGTTAAGATTCAGGCCTTCTGTCTGGAAACTGTTGTGGGCAGGTCAACTGTAATAGCAGTTTCAGATTGTGATTATTTTTATTATTTTTTAATCAGCCACCATCACTGTTGTTCGGAGGAATCAGTATATTTGACTTTAAGGTAACAAATAACAATTCCCACAGAACATACAGTATGTTCAAGATCAAAAATTTATCTAAATATAAAAACAGTTCCAAATATCCAAACCTTGGTGATGGTATTTTTTTTATCAAACATTTGTCAAATATTTGAGCTTGAGGGTGAGAATTTATTTATCGTCCAGAATCATTCTTCATCTGTTTTTGTTCATAAACTAAACAGCTTCAGCTGCAAGTATATTAGAGATGACACTCATTGTGCATCATGGAAACTGCTTTTTGAAGCCATTTCATCTCATCCAAGCATATCTCCTCGGCATGTTTTGGATGATAAATTCTAATCTCACTTACACTACAAAACATTCAGCTGCCCAGCTGTTTTGGGTTATCAGGAGACACATTGTCCAAGAATCAGTTTTTCTTTTATGTCTTATGAGATTTTTATCTATCAACAATCTTTTTTTCTTCTTTAATGTAACGAATATCAATTTTGGTTTACAGGCAGTGCAGAACGTAATTGATTTTTTGTACATGCTGCTGCTCCTTCTGCTGCATTTCAATAGTTTTAATCCCGCCGTTTCTGGAATATTGCTAAAAATGTGGCGTAAAACCGAACTCAGTCAGTCAATAGTTTTAAAAAAGCTTATTTCATTGTTCATGTCTGAGTCGCTCATTTGGGAAAGGTAGACTTTATGAAATAAATAATACAGTTGTATAAAATATGTTTATATTGCTTTAAATGGCAATGTGTATATTTGAATGATCCACTAACTTCCATTCAAGATAAAACATATATTACACGAATTTGCATATTTCCAATTTATATTAAAAATAAAAATTCACTTATATCCAAAGTCAATATTCAAAAGTATCTTTTTCTTGAAGAAATGACAACCTCACGTCTTTTGACAGGTGAGCAGTTCCAGACTTCATCTGCTCAACCTCAACCTCAACCTCCCCTTCTCATTCCCTAACCCCATTCAAAGTCACGGAGCAGAGTTATGTCCCTTAATGATGTCAGGATCTTCTGTGTTCAAATCAGGGATTTCCATGGCTGATGCTTGGCCTGTTAGTGCTGGCTGGTTTGACCCACCACTTCCCTACCATATTAAGCAATAATGTTATTGAAATATTTCTCAAAGCTGTGTTAATCCCAACTCCTGACTCTGACTCACTCACTTACTCACTCACTCACTCACTCAACCACTCACTGAGTCTGACAATCATGACTAATGACCCTGTGTGGCTTGTTACAGGCAGTTACACAGCTTTGCACTGCATACAATAAATGATACCCATATGTTTAAATAGGCTAACTTAAGGCATCCCAATGATGCCAATCGGGTCCACCACCCGTGATGAACACATGTGCTGTAGTTAACACATTGACTGCCTATTACGACTATACTCGTAGTATCAATTCTGGCCGGATTTGCCACTATGAGTTATCTCGTAGCTATATCAGTGGTATTTTAAAACAAGTTTCACATGTTGGCAAAACAGGCACAAAAAACAATCGTCTGTTTTTTTGTGCCTGTTTTGCCAACATGTGAAACGTGTTGATCACTTATGGATCCTTGCCCTTTGTCTGGCAGATCCCTATCCCATAGTTTGGAGAGATCCTTGTCACCTGGATGGATCCTTGTGCTTTAGTCAGATGGATCCTTCTCACTTGCAGGGATATTTGCCCCTTAGTTGAAGGGATCCTTGTCACCCAGTTCAAGGGTACAAGTGAAGATCTGGGTTGTTGTAAGAGGCAACTAACAGGATCGGGTGGTCAGACTCGCTCACTTGGTTGATGCATGTCTTTGCATCCCAATTGTGTAGACTGCAGCTCGTAATGTTCATCACTGGATTGTCTGGTCCAGATTTGATTATTTACTGACTGTTTTCATATAGCTCAAACATTGCTAAATACACTGTTAAACAACTAACAAACAAAATAGTTGTACTTTTCTCTCACTAGTGGGTCATGCACAAAGACAAATTTTAAAAAGCCCCTTTTTATGTTTCAATTGGCAGAGTGTTCCCTCCGGTAGATCTGATTGGACAAAAGTCTCTGTGTTCAGATCTATTTATTCTTCAATGTAGGAAAGTACAGTATGCTCAGACGATGAATATAAAACATTACTGATTCATAGGGGGTTCTGTGACAGATCAAATAGTGTTAACAATCAAAATTTGAAGATTTCCTATCATGTTTTATTATGAATTATGTATTTTTTCTTCAGAGGATTATCTGTTTGTTTTAAATGCATGATGCTGTAATTCTCTGTTGTATTGAGATATTTTAAGAGATGTACCAGTATATAATATTGGTAGTTGGTAGTGTCAATGTCATTTCTTATTTTTCAAATGTTATTATTTTATGAGTTATTTTATTCAGAATTACATACATTTTTATTCTTGGAATTAGTACTATTTATATTTTGTAGTATAAATTTGTGTTTTAAGTCATTAGTAATTAGTTTTGTGAAGACAGTATCAACAATTGCATATTTTGAATCTAAGGGTCAAAGGGCACAAAAGACTTTGTTTGACAAAATTGTTTATTTTCTCAATAAGAATTGAAAAACTAATGTCATTATTCTTCTTCAACTTTGCAACATTAAGCATTTAATGTTAAGTATAACATTGTTTTCGCAAACTTACATCCTAATTTGTGTTTCTCACTTGAAATTAACAATTGCCATTCACATTATTTTTGTATTTTGGAAGATTTTCCATAACACTTTACTCATGCAGAGTTGAAATGTCTTCTTAAGTTGTTTAATTGACAGGGTTGATTGTCATTCACACTTCATTTGATGGCCCACATTGTCCTGAACTTATGCCTCATATTTTGTGTAGTTATATGATTTATCACCCACCCACGTAGATGGTGCTAGTGTTGTTTGTTGTAAAGTGTTGAGAAGTCACAGAAGAGAACTACAAGGATAGGCTGTAGGTACAACTGTCATGGTGGCAAGCATTTATTTCACACCTGGTTGGGTTGGGCTTTTCAAAAACATATTATGGGGTGAAGGATGATGTGGTTAATGTCAGATGTGGACAAGCTGATCCCCTGTGTGCTTTGTTGGATGAGGGCGGTGGGGTAGCCTAGTGGTTAAAGCGTTCGCTCGTCACGCCGAAGACCCGGGTTCGATTCCCCACATGGGCACAATGTGTAAAGCCCATTTCTGGTGTCCCCCGCCGTGATATTGCTGGAATATTGCTAAAATCGACGTAAAACCATACTCACTCACTCACTCACTTTGTTGGATGAAGTATCATGTGTTAAATGTCAGATGTGGACAAGTTGATTCCCAGTTGATGGCATAAAGTTCATGCTATCGACCATCAGCCTGCATTTTGACTTGAACAATTGCTAGGCACAAGGATGAATACCTCTATTTGTTTGTTTTGGGTGGGGTCGCTTTGGGTCGGGTCGGGTGGGTTTTTTCTTTATTGTGTCTGTCTGTGGGTTAGTGGCTAAATAACAACAAGTCACACATAAAATATGAAAAATATACATATATTTCTCCTAACATAGCATAATTTCATTCCTCAACTTGCAACAAGTACAAAGTTGAGTGTTTGATCAGTCGCATCAAAGATTTGTGTGAATGACCTTGAACTCCCTTGCAATTTTTGTGGCCACTTTATTTTTACAATGAGCATGCTTGTTTTAAACGCGCCATCACCCACTATGTCAAGTAAGTTTTGTCGTAGTATTGAGTCTTTGCGTGTTGTTGCTCACCTGTTGCCATGACAACAAATACTAACACAACTCCGTATATTGATAGCACTACTTGGGAGATGGTTATTAACAATCAGTTGACAGGATTGGGTTTTTTTATAGCCAGATGAATGTGCCTAGGATTTTGTTTGCACTTATTCAGCCAATTTATTCTTCACTAAGAGTTTTTAAAATCAGTGAAATCTCTTTGGGTTAGGCCTATTCTTATATTTTTGTTTTTTGTAGTTTGAGATGTTTGGGTTTTCTAAGCAATATTTCAACAATATTTTGTTCTTAAAATAAGCTTCTTTTAACCTTTTCTTGCTATAATTTTTACTTTTTTTTTATCTTTGCCAAGAACTTCGGAAACTTAAACTAGCATCAACAGGTATTTTCAAACTGACAGCCAAAATTGTTTAGTTGTCTCCATGTTTTTTATTCATGTTTGGTTTTTAGCCTCTAAACAATGCTAAGAACATATTGATTGTACCCATTTTGTACTGGAAACAAACTGTTCTTCGGACTTGTAAACAAAACTAAACAATTCTTTTTTTTGTCAGAACTGTTTGTGTTTACTTTTTGGCCGTCCTGATGGAAATGAAATATTCTTACATCTTTTTTCAATCAGCGTATTAACTGTAAGTAGTTATGTAACAAAACATACTACTCAACAATTGCTAAGCACCAAAATGTCACCTTCAAAGGTGTGGTCCTTAACAAATATTGAGTACTATAGTGTGGTCACAGCCAATCAATTATCTGATCTTCACAGTAATCACAAAACATTTTTTACTTTAATAAAATAACATGTTCATGGTCAGAAGAATTCCCTACCACAAAATAATTTGGACAAAGGATAAGAAGTTTTGAAAGGAACAAATAATTTGTTTGCTGTGAACCTGTGGGTATCTTGATATGAAACATCTTATTCAGATCTTCTCAGTCCAAGCCATCACAGCCCAACGGCCACTATAGGTCTTGGTGCTAAGATGACAAAGAGCACACACAGGCACTTGTAGCTTGTCTAAGACTTAACCAGAGACGTACTGCATCGTGTTGACATAATGTTTTGTCATTTTCTGCTACAAGTGCCTGTTATCAGCCTTGACGATACAGTGTATAAGTTCTCCATGATATACATAACCTGGGCCCATTCACAAACTTACCTTTGTTTTGTAAGTAACATCACAAGCTTCATCTTTTTTAGCACTATTTTTTTATGAATTGGTATAGAATTCTTTGGTTATAAGTTTGAAATCTACCACCAGTAGAGTTCAGCATAGGTCTAGATTCAAGTAAGGGACAATGCCCATTTGAGCCTTCTGTTCATGAAGTCAAACCAGGAGACTGAAGGAGATGTTCTCTGGATTGCTGTGAATGGCTGCCAGATGGCTGATACGGCAATAAGAGTTATATCTCCATCAGTTTTATCTGATGATTTCCTGGGAACTAAGATTGGTAGAGAAGTCTTGGGGCTGCAAGATGTCTTGATTTGACAGAAAAGTTGATATGCTTGTCACAGTCATGAAAGAACAGTGGAATTTGGTTTAGCATCAGGATTGTATCATTGTATGGATGAAGAAGAGAAAGTTTGTGCTAAAGTATAAGATAGGAAATATGGAGATTGTGATGTCCCTTCCAAGCAAAGTATTGTGGCAAATTGGTGCACATGTCATGACCATGGAGGTATGATACACTGAACAGTCGGGGAGGACTGGGAGACATGACACCCACTGACACTCCTGCATGACTCAAGGGGACAAGGATTTATTCCAGCTCTTAGTAGAAACTAAACTATTAAATATTAATTTTGTAAAATTAAGGGGTCATAGATATTTTGGGAATATTTTAAAGAAAAGACTAAGTACACAGTTTCATAAATAAATCCCAAAATGTCATGATCCTTTACTTTTTCTGCTGAGCATATAACAACCAGCTCAAGAGACAGTATCGCTAACAAGTCCAGTCTCTTACAATTTTTTTTTTCTGAAAAAAGCTTTGATAGTTGTCATTAACCCATAAGTATTCATTATATAATTTGCTTGATGGTACTAATAATTCTGTTCATTATTAATGACAATAGCTGAAACATGAAATAAGTTTTAGCGGTGTTAGTTTTGATGTGTGTTTGACATGAACTTGCCAGAGGTGAGTGGAACATCCTGGAATATCTCCCCTTTCCTACTACAGCAATATTCCCATGTTTTAGTAGCACTCAGATTGACATTGCTCTCTCCTACCCAGTTTAGTTTTGCTAGCCTGGTACCTCTGCCACAGAACAGCAATATATGAGGATATATATGATGCACACCATTTAAAATATGTACTTTCATGATTGATGCGTCTGCATATATAGATGGCATATGTCATGAAGTTTCACTGAGAAAATGTCTAAAAATTTGAACTAGTGTTTTCATTTTTATGTTTATTCTTTACGTACATCAAAGATAACATTACAGTCACTTTGATAGGTAAAAATATATTGTTAGCATCGTCACCATTAAAGGTATATTAGAAGATTTTATTCAAATCAATATCTGAAGTGCACCAAAAGGCTTTCAATAGGCCAGTCACTTTGATTTCGGAAGAAGCATGTTTGTTTACAAGCAAGAGGAAAGTGTAGTCAAATACTATTCAAATTAGCGTGAGGCAGTGGTGTTATGTTGGCCATCACTGGGTGGGAAGGAGTGAAGGGGGTGTAGCTATACCCATAGCTGCACGTCTGTGGTAACCATGGTTACGGATTTGCCTGCAATAGCAAGATGAGGTGTGAAATAGGTTGAAGAGTGTGTTGTGCAGTCTCTTTTGCATGAAACTTATCATCGATGGTTTGAAATTAGTTTCTAACGCTGTCAGCGCCATGTTCTTGGTCTCCCTGGATGGTGACTGCCGGAGACCAGCTTCATCGCGGACTTAGCTGACCCTCCATGATGTGACTGAAACACTGTCCAAAGGGGTGTGGCACCAAAGTCACTCACTAGCTCAATGTTTTTGCAGTGAGGCCTGAAACATGGTCTATTCTGATGAATGTGTTTACTACAAGGATCAAGGGTCTTGATTTTATATTATGAAAGTAGTCACTGACTTGCTACACAGACAAATACATAGCAAGAGTACAGTCCCATATAGTGTACAGTCCCATATAGTGTACAGTCCCATATAGTGTACAGTCCCATATAGCGTGCACCCCCATATAAGTCATACATAGTGTAAAGAATCAATGTGAAGCAGTGAATTCTTGTAGACAAACACAAGATTAGGATGTATCGGTGAATCATTGTCATTATTCACCGTGGTTGGTAATGTCAACCCTATCATTAAGGATCATGTTTTATTTGAACTTGAGATGTTTTTGGACCTTGCTAGTCTGGGCTGTACCAGTGGTCATGTTTGTCTTGGATGAAATCCATGATGATGATGATGGAACTGACCTCTAGTTGAGCACTTCCTCCTATGATTGCTGTTGGATCATAGTTTAATGTGTGATAATCTTGGCAATAATTATTGTAGCTTCAGGTTTTTCCTGCACAGGATTAAATTCCATTTTATCTTAAAAGATAAACAAATTTTGTTTTCAAGAAATGACTTTCACATCCAACAAAATGTTACATGGCATTCATGCTGCTGGACTGAATACAAGGAACTTTGTTTTGGTCTCTTCTTTCAGATCAAGTCATTTAATAGGTTTGTCCTCCAATTTCCCTGTCTGAAGCTCTTTGGCTTACCTTTCGTTTTTCCAGTGTAGAGGATGTCATTTACTGTTAGATGCTCCACACAGTAATTGGGGCAGTGGGGTAGCCTAGTGCTTAAAGTGTTCTGTCATCATACTGAAGACCCAAGATTGATTCCCCACATGGGTACAATGTGTGAAGCCCATTTCTGGTGTCCCCCGCCGTGATATTGCTGGAATATGGCTAAAAGCGGCGTAAAACCATACTCACTCACACCACAGTAATCAGCTTGTTTTGGGTTTTTAAATTGGATCACTGATTGTTTTTACAAATGTTACCTTTGGAGGGGGAAGGGAGAAACTAAAGTATCATTCGACACTTTTACTGCCAATATATGCTGAAAGCTTTGCTTTTTGCTGCTCTTCAGTGGAATTAATTTGGTAAACCACTTCCTGGATGATGTAAAAATTTAATATACAGAAAGTGACATTACTGTGTGGTCAGATTCGGTAATCCGAAATGTTGATAAGTGAACTTTCACTATTTTACGGTCAGTCTAAGTAAACTTAGGCTCAGTATATATTCGTTACACTGCTATACTGAGTCTAACAAAACCTAGTAGAACGTCGCGTCAGCTAACCTTTGAGCGACCTATGACCGTCCAATCAAACGTGATACGGCCGAACGGATTTAACCAATCAGACAACGACTACTTGTTAGGGTTCGACGGGACTGATCTATCAACAAACCAAAATCCTCAATAAAACCCAGATATTTGACCTGCAGTATGTATGCTTAGGGGTTTCTTATGACATGGTTACTATATGCTTATATTTCTGCATGATGACATCCTTGAATATTGACAAAAACGCTATTTTCAGTGACTGTTTACTCATTGCGTGTATCACTTGGAAACGATTGTGCGGAAAATAGCATTGTAATCGTTCGAGTTTTTAGGTAAAGGCTCAAACGGTATGTGCGAATGTTAACTTTCGCGATTTGGTAAGCTGTGATCTGATTGGTCAGTCCAAAAGGTTAGCTGACGCGACCGTCTACTAGGTTTTGTGAGACTCGGTATAGCAGTGTAACGAATAATACTGAGCCTAAGTTTACTTAGACTGTTTTACGATAGGGTTAGAGATATTTGGTAAACTGACATGTACAAACATTTATTACTCTTCCTCAAAGTTTATATTTTGTTCAAACCGTATCCGGTTGCCTGTCCTGCCTTTCCTAACTCTCACTAGCAGCTAAATACAAATTTCTACCCTTTCAATTACCTCTGACAGATTATAATATTTTGAATTGTGTTGACTTCCACAGATCTCAGGCTATTTGTATCATCAACAAAACAGATTTTATTAGGAAAAGTTAAGAAAAGAAAGTAAAGAAATAAATGTCATACTTTACCAGTTGACCTAACCACTGTTCTTTCTGTTGGTCTTTCTCCACATTCTTTAATTCACAGTGGAGGAAATTCATCATGAAAATACAACTGATAGCATTGCACTAACTTTTTGTATTAATATCAATTCCATTCAAAACTTCAAACTTACCTCATCTGCAGGTTATTTTTATAACATTAACATAGTGAAATCTGTTGTTAACACTCTCAATTATGCCCAGATCTTTATATTGTACTCTTCATATATTATGTTGTAAACAATACTGAATGTATTAATCGTTGGCGCCATCTCTGTTAAATGACATGCATGGACTGTGAGGTATACAGGTTTATGCCTTTGTCAAATAATGGATGCCACATTTCTAAACAAGGTCAAAATATATTTTTAGAACTATGCTCATGGAGATTTGTGACTTTAGAGGCAGAGACGAGAAATTTATGTTAGGCCAGGCCAATTATATTTCTTGTTTTACAGATTTTTGTACTCAGAAAACCTAAAGGCAGGAGGGGAAAAAAAAAAATAAACTCACCAATCAAAGTGATATTCCTACTAAATGCTAAAAGTATTTTACTTTCGGCAATTTATGAAGCGTGTATGGGGCAAAAAAAAATAATCTAAAAAACTTTCTTGCAAGTTTACATTTTTGGCCAATAAAAACATTAGCATTTAAATTTCTTGAGCGGGGAATATTAATTTATTTATTTTTTCTTATTTTTTAAAAAATACGACAGGCAGATCCGTAAAACAAGAAATAAAATTGGTCTGGCCTTATTCTTGAAAAAATATGACCAGCGGATGCGTAAAACAAGAAATAAAATTGGTCTGGCCTTAACTCTAAATGTGAATATCTTTAGCTGGCATATCTTTGGGGGAGCACAACCAAATAGTCAAATTTAGTTTTTCAATTCCCCATATGTTGGTTTCCAAGAGAACAATCAATCCAAGACTGAACATAACAAATTTTCACAATGTTCTTTGCCAGTTTGTATTTCTTTTGTCAAGATTTCGTTCTCGTATGATATTTATCATCCTCTAACTTATGTTTTGGCCAACACCCAGGAAGGATTTATATGATTTGGTTTTCTCTGACTTTATGACACAATTTTGCCTTATTTACATGTATAATGTTTGAAAATATTTATCTACAAACATGACTGTTGATAAATACCTAACGCTACAAGGAGGAAACAGGTCCATTTATTTCAGATCTGAAATTACGAGTTCAATCCCCGATTAAAGAAATATTCCAACATACTGAAACCCGAAACATCATTTTGTTTCTATATATTTTATCTTTGGAATAGTTATGAACAAATCTGAGAAGATAGGATTGTTTGTGCCTGCAAAAGGCATAGCACATGTTTGTGAAGGCTTACAGCACATGGTATGTATGTTGTGAAAAGGAATCACATTGTACTGCTTGAACGTTCTTGAACAAACTGGGAACAGGAACAAGAACAAACTAGGGTTCAGTCTTATTAATAGCAAAATAAAATCATTTTCAGTTTATTTGATGCTGTTTCTAGTTTACATGATTATGTTTGTATACAGTAGACTGATTAATGAAATTAACTATTCAATAAAATATTCTCAGTGTCCATGTTGGGGTCAGTTGGGGTCAGATCCATGGCCAAATAGCATCCCATATGTTCACCCAACATCTCCAAACATCAGATTTTTGCCCCCATTTGGACATTCGGAATATCCTTATCTAAAGTTAAGTGATAGATGGAATATATGTACTTAAGATCCAAGTGTATGATAGTACATACATGTAAATACACACACTTATATATTATTTTGTTAAGTTTGGGGGGCGGTGGGGTAGCCTAGTGGTTAAAGCGGTGGCTCGTCAAGCCGAAGACCCGGGTTTGATTCCCCACATGGGCACAATGTGTGAAGCCCATTTCTGGTGTCCCCCGCCATGATGTTGCTGGAATATTGCTAAAAAGCGGCGTAAAACTAAAACTCAGTCAGTCAGTGTTAAGTTTGGTGATATTAGCCCATGTAAGGTGTGTGTTAAGTATTGTATACTAACCCTTTCAGTGGTTGTGACATTGCTATTGCTTTTTGTGTCAGTTTATTTTAATTATCGTTACTAATGACACAGTTGTGGATCAGTCTTTGACCAGGAGTTTATTGATCTGTTGACTTTTACAGATGGGTATGCCTTCTCACAGGAAGAGCATGGAGTCGTACCACAGGTAAGTGAGCTCAACACCACTATATTGTGGTTGGAAGCAATTGCCTTTATTCACTTTACAAGGATCCATCTATCAGACCCATCAAGATCCGGGCCAGAACTGATCTTCAGTAACCCATGCTTGTCGTAAGAGGCGACTAACGGGATCGGATGGTCAGACTCGCTGACTTGGTTGACACATGTCTTCAGTTCCCAATTGCATGGATCAGTGCTGATGCTGTTGATCACTGGATTGTTTGGTCTAGACTTGATTATTAACAGACCGCCGTCATATAGCTGGAATATTACTGAGTGTGGTGTAAAACTAAACTCACTCGCTCCCGTCTACCAGAGTTTAATGGAAAAAGGAGACTATTATTACCCTGTTGATTTTAAGAGTGTCATCTTTGGTTTTCCAAAGAACAAACTTTCAGGAGCAGAATAGAAAGTCAGATATATGTCTTGAATATGACAGTTCACAGTTGTCTGGGGCAATGCATTTCTCTGTGTTCACAAGACATATCAGGACATCATTGGTTCAAAATATGCCAAGCAGAGTTATGGCCCTTGGGCATGCCAGAATCCTATGATTGTATCTTACTTTGTCACCGTACCCGTCTGACACGTGCAATGTTCCTCATATATACAGCTGACGCAGCATGTGTTTGAGAAATACTGATCAAAGCTTTGTTAAAACTAAGCTTTGTGGAACTTATGAGGAAGTTATCTTGCACTCACAAGGGCAGTCGGGTAGCCTAGTGGTTAAAGCGTTTACTCGTCAGGCTGAAGCCCTGGTTTCAATTCCCCACATGGGTACAATGTGTAAAGCCCATGTCTGGTGTCCCCTGCTGTGAAATTACTGGAATAGTGCTAAAAGCGATGTGAAACTAACCCCACTCACTCACTCTTTCACTCAAAATTAATTCCGATCTCCATCAAGATCCAGTAGATCAGCCATCACCCAATCAAACAAAGGATGAATGTTTTTTAACCAATTAGAAGGCAGCATTCAGTGACTAAAGAGGCACAGAAAACAGTCAGTAAGATGTCACAACATAGTGTGAAGTATCTGACATCATAACACAGTGTCTAAATGTGAACAATTTTCAGATTATCTATTGAAAGAAACTTTCAAAGAATGAGAACCTTAGATGTAAGCTGAGATGGATTTGATTGTAGTCAGTAACGTCTGTGTTTCAGGCTGACTACATCCGGGCGTACGACACCACGAAAGAGAAGCCGGAAGGATTGTAGTAGCCCCACAAGCAAAGGGAGACAACTCTTGTCCTTGGATCTCAGTGTGACTCTTGTGCCATTGTTCAGCATGGTTGCTCTCGTGGACATCCTCATCAGATCATCAGACAATCCTATAATCCACACTTCTAATTGGATTCTATCACCGAATTGCTTTGTTTTTCAAATTGTAGCTCGGAATACTCGGAATATGTGTTCAAGCGGTTAATGTACCTATAGAAGTGTTTGCTATAAAAGATTCACAATCATGTAGCAAATCTCTACTCCACAAATCCTAGTATTATTCAAGGCGATTGTTTTGTTTTTCCGAATATCAGTCAGTATAACTTTACTCAGAAAACATTTTTGACATTAATTAGAATAGAAATAATCTTCCAAATTTGCTAGTTTTTGTCGGTATTGAACTTCCCTTCTTCCACAAACTGTAAAGTGTCTTGTTTGTATTTGACCTCTACCCATTTTGCCTATTGACAAATGACCCCTCCAAATGTATAAACTTTAACCTTGACCCACCAGAGAAAGGAAACATAATGTATTTGCTGGCTTGCACTCATAAAGGAAATTTCTAACTTTCTAAGATTTATTTTTTCAAAGATTATCTGTTATGTGTATATAGTGTAGACTGGGAAACTGTACATTTATCTGTGTTATAATCATGTCTGTGCATATTATCGTCACATGTGGTCGTGTCAACGTTTTCATTGTCCTGCGTTCAGTATTACTCTGTATTATGATGCATTACTCTGCATTATTCTGCAGTACTCTGCATGTCTTGCAATGTTGATGGGTGGTGGAGTAGCTCACTTGTGAAAATTTTCTCTCGTCACAACGCAACTAAGGTTTCTTTTTTCACATAACTACAATGTGTAAATCCATTCCTGTCATTTTGCTGAAAATTGCTTAAAGTTGCATGAAACATCACTCGCCAACTTATGATATTAATATTCCTGAAGCGATCACATTACACTTTTTTTACAGTGCTCTTTAAGATCACTTTTGCAAAGCATTACTGAGAATGTTCAGGACTTTCGTGAATCCTTTGACTGGTTCCGTGTCGCTGGGTTTTTTCAGGTCCCTGAATTTCTTTATCACAATATCATTTTAGATTTTTTTAAATATTTTTGAATGATCACAGTAATGAGACCTTGTCCTCATATTGATGTACTTTGCTTTTTTTCACCATCATCTTTTGCAAGGTCAAAGGTCAAGGGTCAGTAGATGTGATTTTATTGCACATAATATAATCAGTTGATGCCGAGACAGGAATTATTAGCAGCAGTGTGTCAACATTCACTCATTCCAAAAATATGTCAACCTTTACCAAGGTCAAGGTCACTGCACTGATCGTGGTCACTGCGCAGATCGGTGTCGACATACTTGAGGAAGCACTGTATGTCTGATGCATTGTCTACTTCTGTTTAGAATGATAATCAATACTAATGGTGATAGGTCAGCGTCAGTTTTGCCATTTATGAAAAAGTTGTTGATTTATCAAAGAATTGAAATTCAAGACTGTGATACAAACATTGTTAGTACAATCGCACTTCAAAAGAAGTGAAAAAAAATTATGATAATGATGGATCAGGAAAAGTGATGTTCTAAGAAAGTATTTGAGACAAATATCTCAATGATATTAAAATTAATACTGATAGCTTACACAATCAGCAAGGATGTACCATTGATCTCCCCACCCAGTGACTGTTTTCACTGCTGGAGTCGACATTCGTATGCATGTGTGTGTTATGTTTGTTCTGTTGTTGTGATGTCAGGCCGACTAAATGATATCTTGTTTCTCACCACTTGTGCATGGGTGGGTTCATTGTTCTAACATCATAATAAGGTTTGTGATTCTGTGAGGAGTAAATTGTGCTAAAAAAGATGCGGAAGAATATATATGGTCTTTTTTTCGCAGCTATATATTTTACCATATATGACCGTCTATAAGACGACCCCATGGATAAGACGACCCCCAAACTAAAATATAAAATTATTAAAAAAATACAGTAAATTGGAAAATAAAATGTTCCATTTGCTCACTGGACTTATATACATATAGTTTAGCTTACATGGATCCAAACCATTTTTTGTTAATATTAAATGATGTATACATCTAAACAAAACATACATAAGATTATTTCATTGGGTTTGAGAAACAAGAATTATACATGTATTTGAATTGGCCTAATGTAGATCTCTTTGTATTCACCCTAGTTCCCTTTGCTCACATAGTGGTAGATCACATGCTTTTGTTGTGGTCGGGGCGATGTGTAACCTGTTTGAAGTTGGCACCTCTCTGGTGTCCGTGGTAATTCCTGTAGAACAGCATTGTCAATGTTAGCTCACTTGAAGTAGATTTTGTTTGTTTGCTCACCATGTTTTTGTATTTTATGATTTATTATGATTTAGCTGTGACTTTGTGTCTTTATCACATCTCACAGACATTGATTTGCTCTTACAGGCTGTGATACACTACCACGGTCAGCACACAGGTATGCTGCAATGTGATTGGTTGAAAGTTCTTGTAGTGAGGTTCCTTCTAGAATCTCCACATAATGCAAGAGGGTTGTCATTTTGTAATCAGAGGGGTGGAAGAGGATAGCGGGGTAGCAGCATGGTTCAAGTGTTCACTGTTGAAGTCCTGGTTCCACTCCAAAATGGGTTCAGTGTGTGAAGTCTGGTTCCCTGCCAGTGTCAGATGAAAAAGATGGAATTATTATAATAGCATGAAATAAAACTCATGAATTGTTTTAAGTGAAATATTTTATCCATTTGTTTTTACACCATTTTGGAAAGTATGTGTGCTAGTATTAAGAAATACTGTTTAAAAGAACTTAAGGACTGACTCATTCGATTCAATTTAGAGATAAAGATCCCATTGCCCAAAGCTTTTTAAGCGTCAAGGTGATGGTAACCCCCAACTTAAACATTTAAAAAGGTTTTTAGTTATAATACTAATATTGCTTTGTGCAGCTAGTCCCAGACACAGGGAGAGATCAGAGGAAATAGGGCAGGTGACCACATATACCACTGTCTCCTGGGAAGGGGCTTAATAATATACTTATTTGTAGGGCATATAAAAAATGGACATTTTATTGCTCAATGAGGAGTGTGTTTGCATTTTGTCATTTTGTGAGGGTCAGGAATACACTACAAGGACAAGCTTGTCTTTATGTTCAGAGAAGAATTAGTCAGTCCTTAACTTCTGTTTTAGCATATTTCTTTGTATTGTACAGCTGGTGTTGTTTGAGCTTAGCATGTGGAGTATGGACCTGCATTGCTCGTCTGGTCAGAGGTCAAGTTTTGATCTGAATCAGAATGTTGTAAAGCATTGCAAATTGTTTATCTTTTTTCAAATTGAAAAACTGGTTTTCAAGGGACTTTTTCAATCATATGTCAGCATAGTTGTGTGTGTGAGATGACCGAGTTGTCAGGTTCATGTGTATAACTCACTTTTGTTGTTTTCTTTTCTGTTTTAAATTTTAATTCAGGAGATTCTTGGCAAAGCAGATTAGTATGCTATATCTTTTCTGCTCTGTAAAATGCAACACGGTCAATCTTTGTATGAAAGATCAAGCATAGAATATTTATTTCCCAGAATAACTCCATTTTAGCTTCAAGAGGATATTGAAATGTGTAAATTACCAACTTGGATGGTGCTCCTGGTATATGACTTTATGATGTGTATTTTAGATAAAATGACAGATTGTTTAAGGAATGCTTATAATTATTGACAATGATGATGATGAAATGTGCTGTAGCGGGTGATGTGGCCACTGATGGGTGTAGTCAGTAGTACACAAAGAATACTAGAAAAATACGTCTCTGCTGCCGCTGGATATCACGTGTGTTTGGTTTTGCTGATAATAATGTGTGGGGAAATACAGAAACAGCACAATTACCAATTGTCAAATGATAAAAATATAATGGACATAGAAATAAATCGACTGTTTTGATAGTTACCTGACGCTACACTGAAGAAGAATCAGGAAGGTCATATTGGGGAGCAGTTCAAACGTTTGATGTGATGTAAATAAATTTTCAGTTTATATTCTGCTTTCAGATATTACATCTCACTCGTGTAAAGATGTGGTAAGAACTGTACATTTTTTGGACTGAACTTTGAAAACCCTGAAAATGTTTGTCTATATGGAAAACTAGATTTCATAACTCTGAAACTTAAGAAATGGATTTTATATTCAACATCCAGCTTTTGATCTGCCCCCTTTCTTGTGGCTCAGTGATATCCCATATTGCTTCACAAGGAAACAGAAAGTACAGTACTTGATGAATAACGGAAACGGGTTATCCCTTCATGTGGTTGAGAAGCATATTCTGGATTGATAGAGGGAAGCAAGCTTGAATCATTCCATCACTTACCGAAGATGTGCAACAAGGGTTTGGCATTTATTGTTTTCTTGAGTACCAGGAAAACATGATTGCATAATTGGCACCCAGATAGGTGATTCAGAAGTGTTAACATTTTCAGTAGATATATATGAGATATGTTGCTTAGCCGACCATTTGTTGGACATTTTTCCTTCCAATTATTTGGGGCCAAATGTTATGCAGTCCAGATCTTCTTCAGCTTCAGAATGGAACGAATTTGTCATTGGATGATTGTAACAGTAATCAGAGACCATATACTGATATTTGTTGATGCAAGTATATGATAATTATTCAGCATTTTGTCAGATATGACTGTCTTGTGTAAGCCCAAACTAAGATGATGTTTTAAAATGGACTGCTGGTGAAGTACAGAAATAACAGGAGTTGAAATTCCCAACAGGAAGACTGTTAATATGGCACTGTGGATTTGAAAGTTAAACTACTAACAAGAACAGGTTTGAGTAGACTACTCAATTCAGTAGGTTGTGACCCATTACCTTTTGATATTAAGTCTATTTGTAAGCCAAGGAAATTAATTCATCACAGTCTGTTTCCACAAAGCTACTTAGCGCTGAGGTGATTGTGTGAGTGAGAGT